TTCGAATTGTCATTCTCACCCCAGCGACGCATACATTCGTCTTAATAGTATCGGCCAGTTGCACGGATGGGGGGCTGGCCGTTTTCAGAATGTGATTCTCGCCTTGGCGCCGTGCGCATTCGTCTTAATCGCTTCCGAAAGTTAGACGGATGGAGGGCGGCGCCTTTTCAAAGTGAGACTATCGTTTGACATTCTGCGTATTCGGTGGCCGAGAGTGAAACAGTATACAAAGGCCATAAGGATCGAGGGGGGATAATTTTCAGCACAGGGCTCTCGCTGGACATTCCCCCGAACTGTATGGTGCCACCCACCTTGCGTTCATTGCTCCTAACAGCCAGAATGCTTCAGGGTGCATCCTCTTCAAAACGGGGCTCTCGCACGACTGGCGTGCACATAGGGACGATCGTCCCTTCAAGCGGGCGCTTCTGACTATGGACAGGAGGGCTTGTAGGGACTTGTGAGGAGGACACTTGGGGCGGGGGTGGCAATACAGCATCGCTGACGCATCCTGGGCTTACTCTGATCCTCCTCATCTTCCTCCTCTTCCTCCTGCGCCATCCTCCTGCCCCCTCCTCTTCCTCCTCTTCCTCCTGCGCCATCCTCCTCCTCCTCCTCCTCCTCCTCCTCCTCCTCCTCCTCCTCCTCTTACTCCCTCCTCCCGCCTCCCTCTACATCTCATGACACCCCCCCTCCACTGCTCATGCCCTTCCTGCCAGCACTCCCACCCCGCGCCCTCCTATCCCGCCTCCCTCTACACAACTACATGTCCTCGCCCCCCCTCTCCACAGCTCTTGATCACCCTCCTGCCATCATCTCTCATTCGTTCTCCTCCGTCCTCCCTCACCCATCCTCCTTTCTCCGTCCTCCTCCTTTCCTCCATCCCTTCTCCGCCTTCTCGCGGCATTCCAGCCTTTCTCCCTCCCCTTCCTCTATCCATCAATCCATCAATCCATCCATCCATCCATCCCTTATCCACCTCTCTGCCTTACCTCCTTTCTCCTCCGTCCTCCCTCCCTCCCTCCCTCCCTCTATCCGTCCCTGCTCCATCGTCTCTCCGCCCTCCCTCCCTCCTTTCTCAACCTCCTTTTCTTCCGCCATCCCTCCTCCCGTCTGCGCCCTCCCTCATCTCTTTTCCCTCACCGGTCCCCGGTCCCCCTCCGCCCCTACCCCCCTTTCTCAGCCTCCCTCCCGCCGTTCGCCCGGTTCCCTTCTGCCTTCCCGCCCTCCTGCCCTCCTCCTTTCGCCAGCCCCTGCTGGCGCTGCCTCCTCCCTCCTCCCCTCCCATTCCTCCTCCCTCCTCCCCCTCCTCCCTCCCCCTCTTCCTCCTCTTCCTCCTCCTCCTCCTCGCCCTTCTCCTCCTCCCCCTCCTCCTCCCCTTCCTCCTCCTCCTCCTCCTCCTCCTCCTCCTCCTCCTCCTCCTCCTCCTCCTCCTCCTGGCTCACCCCACCCATGCTCAGATAACCTCGGGTTGAGACCTGGAGAATCATATTTTGATATAGCTGTTGATCATTTTGTTTCTGCCGCGCATGCCATTCCTCCCGATCTTGCGAAGATTTTTAGATGCTGATGTTTTCGTTCCACCGCCCTCCACCCCCACGTGTTGTGTTGCCCTCTCGGCGCAAGAGGGGTGGTGAGAGATCGGTGGATGTTCGTTACAATAGCTTCACTGCTAATACGATGGGCAAGACCCGCGGGTGAAAACCTCGGTTTTCTGGTGCTCGCGCTGCGCCCGTTCTTTCCCTAGGGGTGGGCCCTTGTCTGATTTCCGGCCCTGTGTGCGCCATCCTCGGGGCGCTTCGGGACCTCTCACCTGCCTCGTTGCCGATGGCCTCCGCGTTCTGACCGCGTGGGCCCGCCACTGGCTGTAGGTGCGTTTGTGGGCGCCCTGGGGCTGCTGACTGCCACCCGTCCCACACCCTGGAGGTCATCCGAGGCATTCTCTTTCGTGCTGTGTGCGGGGTGATCTGTGCCGAGCATGCCCGCAAGCTCCCTGTGGAGTGCAGGCCCCCGACCAGGGCGGGCACAGATGCCGTCTCCCGAATGCGTTGGGGCCTTCCTCCCAAGTCGGGGGTGAAGTTCTTTGAGTTATGATTTGGCTAATTGCGGACAGGCTAGCACCTGTGTTGCGCAACAACAACAACAGTAATCACATGTTTTTGAACGAGCACCAGTTATAAAAGTACGACTGACACAAATAATAAGTGTAGTAGGGTAATACGAACACTAATACTAATACTAAGTTTCGAACTGTTACTAAGACGAATACTTATACGCATACGAATGCTAATACTATTACTACTACGATTATGTAAACTAATACGATTACTTGTAAGAACACTACTACTCATACTAGTACTAATATCACTACCACTACTACTACTACTACTACTACTACTACTACTACTACTACTACAACTACTACTACTACTACTACTACCACTACTACTACTACTACTACTACTACTACTACTACTACTACTACGACGACTACTACTACTACTACTACTACTACACCGTTAACATTAATACGAATACGAATGCGACTGCGAATGTTAATACGAATGTGAATGCTAATTCGAATACTAGTATCAGTACTAGTATTAATACGAATACCAATGCGAATATGAGTACGAGTACTAATGCCAGTACTAAGATCAGCACACATACGAATACGAATACTAGTACTAGTACTACTAATACTACTACTACTACTACTACTACTACTACTACTACTACTACTACTACTACGACTACTACTACGACTACTACTACGACTACTACTACGACTACTACTACTACTACTACTACTACTACTACTTCTCCGACTACTACTCCGACTACTACTCCGACGACGACGACGACTACTACTACTACTACTACGACTACTACTACTTCTATTACGACGACAACTACTACTACTACTACTACTACGACGACGACGACTACTACTACTACTACTACTACTACTACTACTGCGGACACGTGCACCACATCACCACGGCTCAACCGCCTTGGGATGAGCGTCCTTGTGGCTGCCTCATTTCCAGTATATAGCGAGCACCTCTTCTGGGTGGAATGGCGGGTCTGACGTGCATGCAGCGGCGGGCGCTTATCCGAGGGCAACTGGTCCCTACGGCCCAGAGTAAAGCGACAGCGGCGGCACAGCAGCACACGGGGCGACACGGGCTACTACTACTACTACTACTACTACTACTACTACTACTACTACTACTACTACTACTACTACTACTACTACTACTACTACTACTACTACTACTACTACTACTACTACTACTACTACTACTACTACTACTACTACTACTACTACTACTACTACGACTACGACTACGACTACGACTACGACTACTACTACGACTACTACTACTACTACTACTACTACTACTACTACTACTACTACTACTGCTACTACTACTACTACTACTCATACGGCTGCGAATGCTAATACTAATGCCAGTTGCAATAATTGGAGCAACGAATACATCAAACCCAAAGTTAACATAACTTATATTGTCCTCTTCTCTTTATCATCCTCCTCCACTTCCTCCTCAAGCGTTGTTCCTTTTCGATGATTCCTCCTTGTCGCACCCCGAGGCCAGTCGGAAAGGTGGGTCAGGCGTTTCGCTTGAGATTTCCGCACCACTTATGATCCTGAAGCTTATGATTGGCAACCGTTTCACACATGGAGGGCGGGTGGTTTTCAAAATGTGGTTCTCGCTTTAGCGCCGCGCGCACATGTTGTAACACTTCGCAAGAGATTCCAGGATTGAGAGTGGCTGGATTAAACATGTGGCTCTCGCCTTAACGCCGCGCAAATTCGTCTTCAAAACTTGCAAGAGCTTCAAGGACTGAGGGTGGCTGGTTTTTCAAAAAGTGGATATCGCCAAACTGCCGCGCGCATTCGTCTTTAAACGTTGCAAGAGTTTCACGGATTGAAGGCGGGTCGTTTTGAAAATGTGGCTCTCAGGTTAGCGCCGAGCACACTCGTCTTAAGAGTAAGCAGGAGCTTCATGGATTCAGGGCGGTTCCTTCTCAAAATGTGGTTCTTGCTTCAGCGCCGCGTACATTCGTTTTAAACATTGCGAGAGTTTCACGGGTTCGCATGTATAACGTACCAGAAATGGGGCTTGGGAGTTATTCAGGAGTGACAATTCGCAGCAGTTGCGTTGATTCGTGGTGTCGAAGTTGCAAGAAATGGTGTTCTGGCACGATTCAGGATCGTCACGCCGCAACAGTCAGGTTGACTCGTGGCGTTGGAATCCTTAGAATGGTGTTTTGGCACGGTCTAGGATCTTCAAACGGTTGTGTCCCAACGGGGTATTTCCTTTAGTGGGAATCAATCCTTGCAGGGGCCTGTGAAGAGGGAATTGGAGGGAGGCTTATTCCCATATCGTTGATGCGTCTTGGGTTTGCAATGGTCCTCCTCCTCCCTCCTCCTCCTCCACCTCCTCCGTTTCCTCCTCTTCCTCCTCCTCCACCTTCTCCTCCTCCTCCTCCTCCTCCTCCTCTTGATCGTCCTCCTTCATCTTGCCGAGGGCATACTCGAGGAGCTGGTGGTTTTTCTCGAGCAGGCCTCTGGGGTGGTTGAGGACGGGGGGCCCCAGGCTTTCGGGTTGCCGTGAACGGGGTTGGCAGTTTTGCGTGATGGGGTTCCTCGTGCCGCCACCCTTGGAGTCGGGCCTCCCCTGCCTGTGCGGGGGAGGGGTGACTCCAGGCTGCGCTTGGCGCTGGCCAGGTGCCCACTGGCTCGCGGGGGACATTTGCCACTTGCTCGCGGGGTGCGAGGCTTTTCGGCGTACTTCCTACTCCACCTGCTCCTCCTTCTCCCTCCTTCCGTCCTTCGGTCGCTCTTCCTTCTTTATTTTGCTCCTTCCTTCCTTCCTTCCCGCCTTCCTTCTTTCCTCCTTCCTACACCTCCTTGCTTCCTTCCTTCCCGCCCCTGGCCGCCCCGCCGCTGCGCGGCCTCGTGCCCGCGCACGGAGGACCCTGGCCAGTGCACCGAGACCCCCGCCAAGCAACTGAAGATCTCTTCCGGCGCAGCGGCGACGCTGACGTGCCGAGAGGGGGCGCCACGGCTGCCGCCACCGCCGTCGCCGGCGTGGTCCCTGCGGCCGGGGCGTTGCAATCTCTTTTGGCACACGGGGCGTTGTCGCCTGGTTTCGGGCCCCGGGGCCATCACGGATCGACTCTGCTTGGAGAATGCGACAGGGAGATCGGGTCCAGGGCTCCGGTCGTGATTCTTGACGTCGCATTTTTCACAACGTTGGATCTCAGGAGGAGGAGGAGGAGGAGGAGGAGGAGGAGGAGGAGGAGGAGGAGGAGGAGGAGGAGGAGGGAGGGGAGGAGGAGGAGTAGGGGAGGGAGGAGGAGGAGGAGGAGGAGGAGGAGGAGGAGGAGAGGAGGAGGAGGAGGAGGATCAGGGGGAGGAGGAGGGGGGAGGGGGAGAAAGAGGAGGAGGGAGAGGAGAAGGGAGGAGTAGGACGAGGAGAGGAGGAGGAGGAGGAGGAAGGAGGGAGAGGAGGAGGAGAGCAGGAGAGGGGAGGAGAGGAGGAGGAGGAGGAGGAAGAGGAGAGAGAGAGAGAGAGAGAGAGCAGAAGAAGGAGGAGGGGGAGGAGGAGGACCTCGAGGCAGGAGGAGGAGAGAGCAGAAGAAGGAGGATGAGGAGGCAGGAGGGAGTAGGGTCAGGTCAAGTGAGGTCAGGTCGGCACACGGGGGTGAGGCTCAGGCAGGGCAGGTGTCAGGCCGGGCGGGGAAGCTCGCCACTCGCCAAGGCGAGGCCGGGGGAGGGCTATGCCCGCCTCGGGGGGCGTGGCCTGCGCGCGCGTGCGGAGGACGGCGCGCTCCCTCTCCCAGGCCAGAGGCGGAGAGCAGATGCAGGCGCTGCAGGCCAGAGGCGGAGAGCAGATGACGACGGCGACGACGACGACGAGGCGGCGACGACGACGACGACGACGACCGAAGCCCGAAGCCCGAAGCCCGAAGCCCGAAGCCCGAAGCCCGAAGCCCGAAGCCCGAAGCCGGGGGGCGGGGGCGGGGGCGGGGGCGCGGAGCCCGAGGGCGGGCGCCGGCCCTCGGCGCGGCCGCTGCTGCGCGGGCTGCCGTCGAGGGGGGGGACCCTCGGCGGCGGGGAGCGCGCCTCTCGAACGCGCCTTCTGGGGCTGCGGCGGACTGCCAAAGGAGGAAGCCAAGCCCAGACATGATGGCGTCGTGAAACAAAAATCAGGACGGGAGGTCTTTGGTTATTTTTGCCCTCTAGAGGTCCTCGCCGGGCCTCGGGACCGTCAAAAAACGACTCAGGACGAAAAACCGGCCCTGGGGAAAGGGTCGGGACTTCCGGGGACGCCGTCCTGAAAAAATCAGGACGTCGCATGTCTGGGAGCGTGTCTCACATGCATCCTCCCGGGCCGAGGCGATGCCGGCTGGAGCCCTATGGATCTCCTTGGCCAGGGCCCCGACGAGCAAGTTATCCTTGAGGGCGACGGACGACAGCGCCCGCAAACGCAGGTGTAGCGGTGCAGCCAAACTCGTCTCGCTCTTCTGCGGCCTCGGCCACACGCAGACGAAGCTTGCCAGGGCTCGACCTAGGTGGCTTCCTGGCGATCCCGTGGGCCGTTTTCGTTTTGGCCTCGCCCTGCAGCGAAGGCGGAACGACGACGACGACGGACGACGACGACGACGACGACGACGACGACGGACGACGACGACGACGACGACGACGACGACGACGACGACGACGACGACGACGACGACGACGACGACGACGGCGGCAGACATTACGAGCCCGGACAGCACTGCTCCGGTCGAGCCCTGATGCGTGCGTTGGAGACCCAGGGCCCCGCCCTCGCTGCCGCTCCCCTCCTCCTCCTCCTCCTCCTCCTCCTCCTCCTCCTCGTTCCTCGTTCTCGTTCCTCCTCCTCCTCCTCCTCCTCCTCCTCCCCCTCCTCCTCCTTCCTCCGTCCTCCTCCTTCCTCATCATTTCTCCTCCTCCTCCTCCTCCTCCTCCTCCTCCTCCTCATCCCCTCCTCCTCCTCCTCCTCATCCCTCCTCATCCCTCCTCCTCCTCCTCCTCCTCCTCCTCCTCCTCCTCCTCCTCCTCCTCCTCCTCCTCGCCGGGGCCGCAGACGCAGGCGCTGTCCGCGGCGCTCTGCCCGCGGACGCGGCGCGGCAGCGCGAGGGGGGCGGCCGCCGGGGGCGCGCCCGGCTCGGCGCGCCGTGCCCGCCCGAAGACTGCCGGGCCCGAGCCCGCCTGCGAGGGCAGGCGCAGGGGGCCTGCCGGAGAGCCCCGAGACGGAGCAGAAGGGCCCCGAGGCGGCCCAAGGAGCAGGGGGGACGGCCCAGGAGGGCCCCAAGAGAGCCCCAAGAGGGGCTCAAGAGAAGGAGTCCAACGCGAGACTTCGAGCCCTCCGCCCCAAGATGACCCCCGCGGCCGCCAACTGGCCAACGACACGCCATCAAGATGCGCCGAGAGGCTCCCAGAACCAACCCCCACCCCCAGCCAGGACCCGCACTCTCGACCTGGATCATCTTCAAAGACCGCCTTGGTGGGCCTCTCGGAGCCGCCTCGGTACTCTCATGGGATCTTATTGTTTGGGAGGCCTCTTGGACCGTTTTGTGGGCCTCCTTGGGCCATCTCGGGTACCCCTTTGTGCCGTATTGGAGCTCTGCCAGGAGGCCTCTTGGGCCGTCTTGGGGTCTCTTGGACCCTCGGGGGTCGTCATAGGCCCCCGAGGGCCCAAAGAAGGCGATAAGGAATGCATTCAGGTTCGACATTTTCTCTTCAGCAAACCCACAGGGGGGTCCCAACGTGCTTCCCCCACAGAGGAGTGCGAGGAGGGAGGGGGAGGATATCTACCTCTCTCCTCCGTCCTCCTCGCTCTCCTCGTCATCCTTCCCTCCTTCTCTGGCTCCTCCCTCCTCCTCCTCCTCCTTCTCATCGTCCCCTTCCTCCTCCACCTCCTCCTCCTCCTCCTGCTCCTCCTGTTGCTGCTGTTCCAACTCTCCCGCCTCTTCCTTCACCTCCTCCTTCTCCTCCTTCTCCCCCTCCTCCTCCTCCTCCTTCTTCCCCTCCCTCCTCCTCCTCCTCCTCCTCCTCCTCCTCCTCCTCATCTCCTCCTCCTCCTCTCCTCCTCCTCCTCCTCCTCCTCCTCCTCCTCCTCCTCCTCCTCCTCCTCTCCTCCTCCTCCTCCTCCTCCTCGCAGAGAGGATGGCTGCCGCGCCCGGGGCGGCGGGGGGGGAGAGTCCGCGACATAAACCTACTATTGTAGACTGGAGCACAGCATCGATACATGTTAGCGTTGCGTTGGGAGGGAAAGATGAGGGGGAAGAGGAGGAGGAGAAGGAAGAAGAGGAGGGAGAAGACGGAGGAGGTGGAGGAGGAGGAGGCACGGTATGACAAGACGAAGCTGACGAACAAATTGTGGAGGATGAGGGGGGACATGATAAGGGTTGAGGAGCAGGGAGGAGAGGGAGACGGGCGATGTATTATGTTGATGTTGGTCAAGATGATGAGGACGGAGAATGCGGGTCGTGATGCTAGGTGGCGGGGTGGCCGGGTGGGGCGTGATATCTGCCCACTCGCTAAGCGCAAATGTGCTCAGTGCGCATCTGTTCTGGAGGGCCCGATGAGTTGTTGCCGCGGAGGACGACTCCGATATACCATGTTGCCGTTGTGTAGCATCTCGGGTGTTCATACCTCCGCATTTGGAGCTCTTCGGTGTGATGCGTTTGCGCACTCATCGGGCGCCTCGTCGCGGAGGGGGGGAGGATGAGAAGGAACAGGAGGAGAAAAAGGATGAGGAACAGGAAACGGATGATGAGAAGAAAAAGGAGGAGGAGGAGGAGGAAAACGACGACGACAAATAGGAGCTGACGCTACTGGCGTATCGTCCCCACGGCCTGGCCACGAGAAGAGAGGAACATGCTGAGGCGCAGGAGGAGCGGTGGGAACAGGAGGAAGCCGATGGGCAGCAGGAGGAGGGTGCTGGAAGGGCGGGGGGGAGGGGGGGAGCAGGAGCAGGAGGAGGGAGGGGGGCCAGGTACGCAGGCGAGTGCGAGGGCGGCATTCGCGCCAAGGACTTCGGCTCCCACCACCCTCCCTGCGGTGACTGCCCGCGGACTGCCTGCAAGTGACAGGCTGTCCTCGCACTCCCCGGTGCTCCTCCTTTCGTCGTCCTTGTAAAGAGCTCCCCCCTGTCGCACCCACAGACGTGTTGGCAGTGTGGGCCAGACGTTTCGCCTGAGTCTTCCTGGTCATCTATGACCCTGAAGCTTGAAACTTCACGGATGGAGGGCGTGTGGTTTTCAACATGTGGTTTTCGCCTAAGCGCCGCGCACATTATTGTCAAAAGGTTGCAGCAGTTTCTGGGATGGGGGGTTGTTCCTGTTGAACATGTCGCTCTAGCTTTAGCGCTGCATACCTTCGCCGTGACAGTTCGCAGTAGTTTCAAGAGTTCGTATGGTTGAGGTCCCAGGAGTGGTGTCATGGCAGCATGTAGGATTAACTGGATGCAAGAGTCATATGGGCTCGCGGTGGTGAAGTCCCAGAAGTGGTGTTCTGGCACGGATTCGGGTTGTCGGGGCGCAACAGTCACCTTGATTCGCGGCGCGTGGGTCCCAGGATGGAAGTTGTGGTACGGTTGAGGATTCTCAGGCGGCTGCCTCAATGAACATGTAGTCTTGTAGGGTCCTATGAGGAGAGAATTTGGAGGGAAGGTTCATTGCAACAACGTTGATGCGTCTTGGGTTTAACCAGTCCTCCTTCTCTTCTTCCTCCTCCTATTCCCTTCACTCCTCCCCCATCATTGTTGTAGTCCTTTTCCTTCCTTCTTTCACGCCTCATTCTCCCTCGTCCCTCGCCTCGCCTCGCCGTGCGCCTCCGACGGCTCGGCTTCCTTGTCCTGAGCTTTAACATCCTCCTGCTCGTCGTCGTCCCCCCTTCCTCCTAGCACCAACTTGTACCCCAGCAGGCATGTCTGGTTCCAGCTGGTAGAGGTTCGGCGGCTCTGGCAGGATAAGGAGAAGGAGGGATGAGGCAAACAGGGAAGATGGAGGATGATAACCAGAAGGACGAAGGGAAGAATGGAGGGCGATGGTGGAGGAAAGGAGGAGGGACAAGGGAAGAGGGGGATGGCGCGGACGAGGGGGGAGAGGCGAGGGACGAGGGAGGATGATGACGCGGAACGCGGACGATGATGATGTAGTCGTCGTTGTAATTGATGATGGTGAGGAGGAGGAGGAGGAGGAGGAGGAGGAGGAGGAGGAAGACCACGAGGAGGAGGAGGAGGAGGAGGAGGAGGAGGAGGAGGAGGAGGAGACCACGAGGAGGAGGAGGAGGAAGAAGAAGAGGAGGATGGAAGAGGGGCGGAGGGCTGATCCAACATGAAGACCATAGCGGCGCGGCGGCAGACGGCGACGGCGGTCCCCGTCTCGCGGCATCCAGCGGCCAGAGCGGCCAGCGCGCTGGCCGAGCCCCCCCCCGCCCCGCCCCCTCGGAGGGAGGACGGGGAAGGGAGGAGCGGGAGGGAGGGGCCCCTTCCTCCTCCCTCCTCCTCCTCCTCCTCCTCCTCCTCCTCCTCCTCCTCCTCCTTCCTCCTCCTCCTCTCCTCCTCCTTCGTCATCCTTCCCCTCTTCCTCCTCCTCCTCCTCCGCCTCCTCCTCCTCCTTCTCCTCCTCCTGCTCCTCCTCCTTCTCCTCCTCCTAGAGGGGGGGGAGCAGAGGGAGGGGTGGAGGGAGCGCGAGGGGGGGCCCGGTGTTGGGGCCCGCGTGCTGGAGGCCGGCCCGTAGAAGGCCTCCCCCGCCCGCCGCCTCCGCCCTCCCGCCCACTGCAGAACTCCTCTCCTCCTCCTCCTCCTCCTCCTCCTCCTCCTCTCCTCCTCCTGCTCCTCCTCCTCCTCCTCCTCCGCCTCCTCGGCGGGGGGGGGGGGGGCGCTCCGAGCGAGCGACAGCGAGCGTGCAGCGGTGCTGACGAGGCGGGGGCGGCGCAGCGCAGCGGACGGAGGCGGCGGGCCGAGGCGGCCGTGGGCGTGGCCATTCGGCGCCGCGCCGCGGCCACGGTCCGCGCGCGCCTCCCCGCGCCGTCCCGGGAAGGGGAGCGCCTCTTCTCCTGCGAGGCGGCGCCGGCCTGGGCGCGGGCGCGAGGCTGGCCCAGTGGTCAACGTCCCCGAGGGGTGGGCAGAAATGCCGGCCCCCGCGGGTGCGCCTCGCAACCATCGTTTTTTCACAGGCTAGCGGCGAGAGGCTCCCGCGGGTACACCTCGCGACCACAGCTCTGCACAAGAGTGCAGCAAGGCGCGCTGCGTGCCAGGAGAGAGGGCACGGAATGGAGGAGAGAGGACAGGGGAGGGAGGGAGGGCGGTGACAGGGGAGGGGACAGGGGAGGGAGGAATGGAGGAGAGGGGACAGGGGAGGGAGGGAGGGAGCAAAAGTGAGGGGGGCCCGATAGAAGCCACGTGCCAGGGGTCGGGCGGTGGAGGCGTTTGTCCTTTGCTTCTGCATCTTGCGATAGCAGCTCGGCAGGCCGCAGGATTCATGCGTGCCGGCGCCTGCGGGGTTGGTGTGGTGGACTCGCTGGACGCTCGCCCAGGGCCGCACGGCGAGGCTGGCCCTCCTCTTGCGTGGCCGGCTCGGGACTCTCTTGGAAGGATGTAGCGCCGTGTTGGGCGTGGTTTGGGTCGTCTTGGGTACGTCTTGGGGGTCTATTTTCGGTGCGTATTTGGACCATCTTGGGCTATTTCGGGGCCCTCTCTCGGATAGTTGTTTGGGCCATCGTAGAGGCTTCTTGGGCGGTGTAGGGCGTAGGGAAGTTCGAGAGGGCACGAATGCTAAAGCATTTCCAGAACCTCGAAAGAAGAGTCGCTTCTGCATTTTCAGGATCTGGGGCGTCTTGTGGGTTGCTTGGGCTGTCTTGGGGCCAGGGCCGCTACCTTGGAGTCTATCAGAGGCCGCTGATACAGGGTCAGCCTCTCCGAGTGAGAGGCCGCTTTGGGCGCCTTGGAGGCCATCCTGGGCCACCGTGGCTTCTGTGGAGGTTGTCACCATTTATGCCACGGGTCCCATTCCCCATTCCCTGATGTTGGAAATTCGCACGATTGGGAAGGTGAAACAATCGCAGGGACTTGGTCCCAGAATTGACCACATGTCGGGTTCCATCTTTGGCACCCTTACCACTGCTTCGCAAGAAACGAAGCGAATGTAAAACATGATGGTCCAACAGCCAATCACATCAAGCGGGTGGACATTCATGGATTCGGCGCAACGAGACGGGATTAGTCGGGAGGAGGATGGCAAGTGTTGCGCGCGCCCACTTGGCTTGCGCCTCTCCCCTCCCCTCTTGTGTTTCAGCGAGCGAAGAACGGTACAAAATAAACTTTTTCGTTGTCGGGGACAGGCGCCCCCGACAGCGAAAAAGTTTATTTTATACCGTTCTTCGCTCGCTGAGTGTTCTCCCTTCCTCTCCCTCCCCCTCCCCTTCACCCCGCCTTCCCTCCCTCTCTGCCTCTCTTCCCTGGCGCCTTCCCCCGCTCCGTCCGAGGGCAGCGCGGCTTCCGCAGGAGGTCCGGTGCGCGGTGCTGGACGGGCCCTGGCCGCAGGGGGTGGTCGACATGGTCGGGTCCCTCGGCAGGGAGGTCTCCTCCGTGCTGGTGAAGAGCCGCGTTCCTAGCAAGGTGCAATCATCGGGGGTGGACAGACCTCCTACCCTGACACGTCGACTAAGGAATTTGGCCGTTTTCGGTTCGCGAGAGGGCGTCGCGACCGTATCTTTTGCGGGTACGGGTCCGTCGGTTTCGGTCCCAGGCCGTTTTCACTAAGGTATTTCTTTACCCAGTTTCTTGGTGGCAGTCCTGCCACCGTGCGCACTGCGCCCCCCCCCCCACTCTCCCCTTACAGCAAGGCCTGTATGGTGTGGGCGGGGATAGGAGACGCGGTCTCCCGCGTCTCCCCGACCTCCTGTTTACTAAAGCGTTGCAGGTTCGGTCAAAAAACAGAGGGGTGTCGCCTCCAGCCCTCTGTTTTTCAAATTGACGAGGTTGGAAAGAAAAAAAGCGTTCCTAGTAAGGTGCAATAGCACCAGCTGTGCTGGCGGTGGTGGCAATGCCGGCAGCAGCAGGAGTCGCATTGGTCGTCGCTGTCGCAGTCTTTTTTCGTTGGCGCAGTCGTAGTCGGATCAGTAGCAGTAGCAGTGTTGGTGTTTGCACGACGCGCTGGGGGAAAGCTTGTATATCATACTACGTTTTCAACCCGCACCGTTTGTACACACTGTGGCGTTGTATTATAAGCACAGGACATCTCATGCTGCTGCAATGCAGAGTTTGGGGTTACCGCACCTTTGGTGCGATGGCAGCGCCCATGATGAGCCCTGCCCACCGCTCGTTGTTGCAGGACTCGTCCGAAGTAGTATGTTGCACACAGATCTGATGTAGCGGTAATTGTAGCAGCTGGAGTCGTAGTAGTGCCAGTACTCGTAGTAGTCGCACTCGTGGTGATGGCGGTGGTAGTGGTGGGGGTCGGGTAGTGGCAGTATTTGTACATAGTTCCAGCAGCACCAATAATGCTACGCGTAGACTGTGTCTTGCATTACGTGCACATGCTGCGTGAATGCCAAAAGGCGCGAGTTCGGGATCGGATTGGGCAGCCAATTCGACGTTCATTGACTTCGTGCATAATGGACATCTACTTACCTCTTAGTCCATGTGTGTAATACGTTTTTGCCAGCGTGGGCCCAAGCAGTGTGTTTATAGGGGCTTAAGTTGTGCAATCTAGGTGGAGCAGGAACAATATGATTGGTGCAATCTGCGTGGTGCAGTTTATGGTGTGGAATCCACTCTGCTGAACTTGACGTCGTCATCTCCACTGCTCGCGCAAACATCCCACCCACCCACCCGCAACTTGGTTTGCAAAACCTGTTAAGACCGACTACGACGACACCGACGACAACGACTACGACGACACCGACGACGTCTCCGACGACTTCGACGACGACAACGACGCCGACGCCGAAGACGACGAGAAGGCGACGACGAGGGAGGAGGAAGGACGACGACGGCGACAACGACGACAACGACGACAACGACGAGGGAGGAGGGAGGACGGCGACGACGCGAACGACGAAGAAGGAGGAAGGACGGCGACGCCGACGACGACAACGACGAGGGAGGAGGGAAGACGACGACGACAACGACGACGACGACGACGCGACGAAATAGGAGGGACGACGACGAGACGCCGACGACGGACGACGACGACGACGAGGGAGGAGGAGGAAGGACGACCACGGCGACAACGACGACGGAAACGACCACGACGCCAAAGAGGACGACGACGACGAACACGAGGAAAGACAGAGGACGACGTAGGAGACGACGACGACGACGACGCGGGAGGAGGGAGGACGGCGACGACGACGACGACGACGACGCAAGAGCGCGCGCGCACGCTTTTGTTGAAAATCTGTGTTGCGAAACCTTGGGTTTTTGTAGTTTTTTTGGACACACGATTTTAAAATCCTTCGGAAACCGATGGGTTTTGAAGGTTTTCGGCATACGCCCGCGACGACGCGCGCGTCTGCACTTCGTCCCGTTTTTTGCAGAGGATTCTCGCGACGGCACACGCGCAAGGGCGTTCGACAGATTTCGACATGCGCGCGCGCGAAGCCCGTTTGGTACCATATTGTGAAACTGTTGAAAAACCTATGGTTTTCTTAAGATTTCGCAAGAGCTCGCGCGGAAGTTTTTTTAGCAAATCAGTGTTGCGAAACCCTGTGTTTTTTTGTATGTTTGTTTTGGAAACTCGATTGCGAAATCTTTCCGACACCGAAGGTTTTTGATGGATTTCGACATGCGCGCGCGACAACGCGCGCGTGTGCACTTCGTGCAATTTTTGCAAGGGATTCGTGAAACAGTTTCATGTTGGAACAAAAAATGTCCCCGCGTATTTTTTAACAAGGGAACCTCAGGGGGGCCGATCCCAGCCCCTCTGGAGTAGTGGAAATTCATACTTAGGATGGACATGTGGTCAAAATCGTATATGATTTACATACCCGAAAAGGGGAGGGGATAACGCCAGGGGGGGGTAGAGTCCATTTCTTTTTAGACAGGAGAATCTACGTCATGCAAAACGCACCTCGTGAAATCTATGCGGCTCCATCGATGCCAAGCGGTGCGAAGCGAGACAGATCGCGACGGGCGACGAGGCGGCGACGGGGCGGCGACGGCGGGCACGCAGCCGCCAGGCAGGCCACACGGGCCCGGACGCCGGGCGGCGACGGGGCGGCGACGGGGCGGCGACGGCGGGCACGGAGACGCCAGGCCGGCGCTCGGGCCGGGTGCCGTCGAAAAAACAAAAGAGAGACCCCCAGCGTGCAAGCAGCGGTTTGGGGATCTACAAATGCCTGTATTTTTGCTTGCCTCTTGTGGCCGCCGATGCATGCAAAGTATAATGTTCACACAGCGCGTTCGCACACACACGCACGCATCCTCGCGTTCCTCCCGACTTCTCTTGATGCGCGCACATATTCGTATATGTATGTATGCATGCATGTACGTATGCATGTCTGTATGCATGCGTGCGCGTGCACGTACACAGTGGCCTTTTAAATTTTGTCCATCCCGCTACCGTGCTTGGATTGTAAGTCACGGGTGCATGCCTATGGAGATCTTTTGGAGGGCCTTTCGGAAGCCTCTTGGAGGCGGTTTCGGGCGTGCGTCGGGGCCGTTCGGTGGCCGTTCCTTGGGGGGCACCCTGGGACCTGATTGAGGTCAGTTGGGGGCCCCCTGTGGCTTCTGGGTGGCCTAACGGGGCCTGCTAGCCGCCTCCGGGGTCATCTTGGGTCGCTGAGCACGGAATCTCAGCATGGATTCTCCCTCGTGGGGGCTCTCTTGGTGCCGTACTGGGCTGTCTTGGAGGCCTCTTGGCCCGCCTTGGGGCCCTCTTGGGCCGTCTAGGAGCCTTCTTTGGGGCGTCTGCCTTTTAGGGGCAGGCAGCCCTGGAGCGCCGGAGGCTCGAAGAGGCGAGAGCACCCAACGACCAGAGGAGTAGCAATGATTTTGCCCATCCCCGGACGCTGCGAGATCGGTCGAAGAGAATCCTCACGAGGTCCCCGAGAGGCAAGCATCACTGATGTCGCTATGGTTTTCAAAAGTTTCAGCGTTGTCTCCTTCTCGATTTTGCGGCGTTCACGGCGGCCCCAGCTGTTTTCAAGATCGGCCCGAGGCATCGCCAAACAAGGTCGATGAGGAGGAAACGCAAAAGGATATGGTAGATGAGGGCCGGGAGGAAAAGGAGGAAGAGGAGGAGGGCAGGGAAGAGGAAGACGAAGACGAGGACGAGGACGAGGATGACGATGAGTAGTTGTAGACAGAGGAGGAGGAGGAAGAGATGGAGGAGGAGTAGGAGGAGGAGGTGGAGGAGGAGGAGGAGGAGGCGTAGGCGCAGGCGCAGGAGCAGGAGGACGAGGAGGAAGAGGAGAGCAAGGATGTAGAGCAGCAGAAGGAGGGGGGCGAGCGGGCGATGGCGTGAGAATGGTACGGGCAATGCTGAGGGAGGGGGTGACATGGGAGAGGGGAAGGAGGGGGAGGAACGCAAGCTACCCTGGATGAGGCTACGACTTCTTGTTGTCGCCTGAGAACAACGAGCTCGACGATCTCGGGCTCCGCACTGTTACGAGGGGTGGGGACATGCAAATGAAGAGGAAGAGGATGATGGTGATGGTGATGATGTTGATGATGATGTGGGTGATGACTATCACTGGGGCTGCGATGAAACTTTGTATTTTTGCAGGAGGAGGCATTCGGAGGCTTTAGGTGGCTTGAGGAGGAGGGTAAGGAGCACAAGGAGGAGGAAGAACATGGGGGAAGAAGAGGGCGAGGGCGAAGAAGAGCGGAAGAAGGACAAAGGAAAGCAGGATGAGTAAGAGGAAAAAGTAAAGGAGGACGACGACAAGGAGGAGGAGGAGGAGGAGGAGGAGCAGCAGGAGGAGGAGGAGGAGGAGGAGGAGGAGGAGGTGGAGTGGAGGAGGAGGGAGGGGGTCGGAGGGCGGGGGTGCTGCCGCTGGCACCTCGCCGGCGGAGAAGACACGAGCGGCTGGCAGTGCGATGCCCTGCGGGCGACACGGACAGGGTACGGAGTTTGAGCGGCTTGTTGCAGCCAGCCGGCAGAGCCAAAGATGTACCGGGTGTCAGAGGCCCGTCGCCCCAGGACCCCAGCCGTCCGGGGCGGCCGAAATCTTTGCCAACCTGTTCGAGCCCCCGGGGCATTGACACAATGCACGGGGTGCAGAAGCCCTCGGTTCACTCGCCCCGCGCTCGAGTGACATGCCGGACTGTGAGAGGCCTGCTGCATGGATGCGGACCCTCCGGCCACCCTGGGCGGCCCTCAGCGTGCGCGCGCGGTGCAGCGTGTGGCGAGCAGGGCTGCAGCGGCCGCACTGCATGACAGAGCTTGGCGTCTCTGCGGGTCGAACCGCGCGGCAGCACGTGCCGACCAGCCTCCACAGACGCTCGGCCCCCCTCGGGGGGGGTGGGGGGGCAAAAGGGGGCGCTGGGCCCCTCGCAGAGCAGAGCGGCGCGATCCCGTGAGCGCTCTCTTCGTCGAGAGTGTCGCCGCCGTCTTCGGAGGAGGAGGTGTGTATGGAACCCGTGTAATACCCTCATATATACTCCTTATCCTTACCTCTCCCGCACCTGGCCGTTTGGGCTCAGGTACTGAGTTGGAGCGATCGTACCTTGATCGCTTGGGAGGGAAAGATATCCATCTATCCCTCCATCTCTCTACCAACGGATCAGGGGTTCTGTACTCTTGTACTTCAACCCCATACACAGGTTATCAGCCCTTTAACGCTCACCTTCACCGACTCGCCCGCGGTGACCTTGCATGCGAGCCCAATGGAGCCGCTTCGGCGCATGCGCCGTAAGGGTTCCATTGGGGCTTCGCGTCCAAGCTCTCCCACGGTGCGACGGCTCGGTGACGAGTTGGAGAGCATTAATGCGGACTGTGTTGGTGTCCCCGATACCCCCCCCCAGCTCCCGAGGACCCGAGGCGCGTCTAGCTGCTGAACTTCGCCGCAGCGCCGCCCGCGGGGGGACAGGAGAAGGAGTAGGAACAGGAAGGAAGGAGTTTCACACGCCGACCTTTGATCCTCCCTCCCCTTCCCCGTCGGGAGCAATCCCAACCGCGTCAGGCGAAAGCCTTACCGGTCTCGATACTCCAGGGCGCTTCCGCGCTAACCGCCGATGGACCTCAGGTGCTGGAACCCCCAGCCCTGCGACCGTCCCTGTGGCGGAGCACGTAGCTACCTTCGAGGAACTCAGTAGACCAGTGTCGGCACAGCCACAGACGCGGTACCCCAAGGTATCATCGGATGAGACATCACACACACACATGGTCCGAGTCGCAGCTCGTCCGCGCGCAACCGCCGTGGAGCCCCAGGCCCATACGGCGAGAGCAGGTCGAGCCCGCGCACTGCCTCTCAGAGGCCATGCACTCCCCGCGACAGGGGACACAGGGAAGCTGACGCTCCCCACCTCTCCATCTCAGACGACCAGCTGGCGGAGACGTCCGCCGCAGGTGACATAGCTGAGCTCAGAGACCAGGTTGAAACCTTCGTGTCCAGCCAATACTCTGGACTACTACAGAGCGTTCAGACGAACGCCACGGATACTGCAGCCATACGCCGCGATCTTGACGGCGCCTTAGGGATCATCGATTCCAGGATCGCCGAAGATAGACGCATCATAGGAGAACTGCAGTACCAGGTTGATCGTGAGGTGTCACACTCAGGTGAACGAACGGCGATGGTCGAGAACCTGCGCAACTATCTCGCGCAGATGGAGCAACAACTTGTGATCGTACGCGACACAGGCATTTCTGCGGTCAGGATTTTACACGATGAGATCCACGACCAGCTCCGTAACCGACCAACCCCAACCGAGGCCACAGACCTCGGCGACGTTCAGTCTCAGATCAATGATCTTCGATCTTACCTAGACCACACTACGGCGACGCTTCGTACCGAAGCACACACAAACTCGTCGAACCTGATCGACATGTTGCAGCGTACTGAGAGAGTCATCACTCAAAGGCTTGATGCGACCAACGCTGTCGTGCAGCCACTCGCTAACCGGATCTCTGACATAGAGCAGCGTTTCCCTGGTGTACAGGACGCCCTGGCAGAGTTGCGTGTCGGACGAGCCCAGACTGATCAGCTGGATTCTCCTCCCACGGTTTACGATTTCGCCCGCCTCACTGACAGGTTGCAGGAGGTTGAGAAGGCGGCGGACCACACGCAGTTAGAGCTCTCCCAGGTTATTCATGAAAGAGATACTGAGAAGGTACGTGTTGAGAGTTATCTCGCACGTCTGGAAAGCGAGGTGGAGGCACAAAGCGCCCGTCTCCGAGCATGCGAGCATCGGCTTGATCGGTATTCCCAACGGTCTCGGGATACTGATGAGTATACACGCCAAAAGGTGGGTCAAATACAAGAAGACATGACGAGCTGGACGAATCAGCTGATCGACCACACTAACGACACCAACATTCACCTTCGACCTGCAGCCGACCCGCACAGGCCGACGGCAGTGTCCGCCGAAGCACCACAAGCTTCAGCAGGACAACAACGACGCACATCTCCAGGAGCAGCCTCCGCGGCAGCTTCTGCACAGACACGCCATGTGTCTCCTGTGCGCACAGAACCAACCATCGACGGTGCACCGATACCCTCACAGCCAGCGTCTGCGGTGTCGGTCCATACTACGACGCCTATCAAGGAGTCAGACACCGTCCGTGTACCTGTCTTGCCTAAGATCACGCAGCTGCTGGAGTGGCAGCAAAGAGTGCGGAAGAACTTCGGGGCCGCCTCAGGGCGACCATCCAAAGCATACGCCTTCCTATGCGTGGCAGAACAACCCGAATGTACATTCGAGGATTTACAAGACAGTGGAGACTTTGAGAGCATCGATTGCAAACTCGCAACCGCTCTGAGCGACATCTTATCCTCAGACTTACGCTACCAAATCAGGCTCATCGAGACCAGAGAGCACAAAGCAGGACGCATGCTCAAAGGACGCCAGATATACTGGCATATCCTACAGTCCTACAAAGTGACAGACGTCGACGACGACCTGCACGATTTCGAGCGCCTTAAAGAACTGAGGATGAGAGACGAAGATTTGCAACGTTTCATTACCGATTGGGACGCCTTACTCTTGGAATGCCGAGAAGTACCCGATCCAAAGATATTGGAATCGCTATTCCGCACACAGATTCGTAGACATGCATGGATGAAACAAGACATGTACGAGTACCAGCGCATGAAGATGAGCGACCCGAATCGTACCTACGGTTGGCTTCGACAGCGTGTCCTGGACATACTGGAGATTAAACAATTGGAGAAAAATCAAAACAAGCTACGGTACGAACACGAGACACGATCTCAGGTTAACGTGTGCGTTGCATGGAAGAAAGGCAATTGTCGCAATGGTGAACGGTGCAAGGCTTTACATACATATTCCAGGGATTGGAAGAACAACAAATCTTCCAGAACATCAACGGCTGGTGGCAACCCCCGCCGTAGTATGTCCACTCCTGCGAATCACAAGAAGCCAGCATCAAGGCCGTTCTGCTTCGATTTTGCCAAGCGCAACACATGTACCAGAGGTGATAAGTGCAACTACCCGCACGTCGCACAGTGCAAGGATTTCGCACAGAACAAGTGCACAAAAGGCGACAAATGCAAATACGCTCATCTCGCACCTGGTGCAAAGACTCCTGAACGAAGCCCGAGTCGACCACGGACTTCCAGCCAGGACAGCCGTGGCCGATCACCATCCCGCGGATCAGGAAGCCAACGGTCTTCACAACGCGGGGGGCTTCGCTACGCAAGCGATTCACGACAGGGACGTGACAACCGACGCCAATACGACCGATCCCGTTCGACATCCAGGAGGTCCCAAGACTCTCGCAGCCAATCGAGAAGTCGTTACGACAGATCTTCGAGATCTACCTCCCGAGGACGAGACAATCGTGGCGGCGGACGTGGCAGTCCACGCGGCCGTGATCGATCATATGGCAGTGACAAAGGACGTGGCAAGCGGTATCCGAGCCGCGGATCGTCCCGTGGTTCACCCAACACTAGAGCACGTTCTCCTGCCAACTTTAGACATTCACGCCGTTCAGACCGCAGCTACGTCATCCGCGACAAGACCCTCATGGCCAACACCAAGGCCACAACGACATCTACCAAGATACGTCGTCGGATACGCTTCGACGTACGCAACGTGGACTACTATTTCCATACCATATCTGGCAGAGCCAGACTGGACAGGTGGAAAGAGCTGCCGAATGAGGGTGACATCGTCAAAGTACCAGATCCATTACCACAAAAATGGTGGGATGATAGTGCAGAGGCCTTACGAGAATGTCAAAAAGAGGCACAACTATGGTACGACGAACTGTACGACTACCGACACAACAAAGAGTCGGTGGCCACACCAACTGCGATCCGAAAGCATGACGACACTGTCAAGCAGTCATCAAAGACTGCCCAGACGACAACAACGACAAAGCAAGTCGACACTCCACGCTCGACTGCAGCATTGACAAGGTCTTGGGTTCTTGACAGTGGTTCTGCCCATCATATTCAGGGAAAACATG